AACAATCAGTCGAAGGTATCGATCAAGATTTATTTATGGAATGGAAGAACATTATAAACATAAAGATCACCAAACAATTATTAAATGCGTACCTTTTTCCGCTCTGAAAGTGTGTTTTTGTGATAAACTCGGAAATTTGCGAACAAATGGACTACATAGAAAGAAGCATTACTTAGTGATTCTATTTTGAAGAGAAATCAAGTGTAACTCTCTAATTGACGGTTATTTTCCAAATTAATATATATTTCAAAGCTGTACAACTTCAACGTTTCCGAATCCTTCAATCAAAAACAATATGGAGGCGAAGTAATTATAAGCCCCAAATTGTCCAATTTGTCGAATATTGAATTCTTTCCCGTGGTCCTTGCCCTATGCATGTAATTTCGGACAGTTTTGGGATCTACTGCTTTCTGAATTAACTACATACATGATTTTCCTTAGAGCTCGACTTTTTCGAAGAAGAAAAAAAATCGAGCTAAACAACTTGTCATGTCGTCCGTTGCCGTCAAAAAACTTTAACATTGGTCATATTTTCATTTATTCTTAATGGATTGTCTTCATACTTTGACATAGCCACCCTTTTGATAAAGACCTTCAAGTAAACCAGATAGAAGTTGACCATGACGCATAAATGACATTGACTTTCAAGGTCAAACTTTTGAAATTTGCTTGACTTTTGTTATAAAAGGCTTTAACTTTGTTCTTTAATTACGGATTGACTTCATACTTGAACGCAATGTCTGAATGAAGATCAATCCTAATTTGACATTGACTCGTAAATGACCATGACCTTAAAGGTCAAATTATTGAGAGTTAGAGTTGTTTTTTGCTATAATTGGCTATAACATTGTACTAAGTAATAAATGAATTGTCTTCTTCATACTTGGCACACTCTTTGGGACAAGAACGTAAAGAAGATTTAATGGAACTTTACCTTGACCTTGACACTGAATGTAAAATTAGTGATTTTTGTTACAAATAGCCATAACTTTGTTATTTATTAATGAATTCGAGTCATACGTGAACATTTTTTGACAGGATTGACAATTTGAAAAATAAAAAAATGACCTTGAGCGTCAGGGTCAAATAATCATATTTTCCTTAAATACTCATATAACTTATTCATCAAAAGATTTGATTCATTCTACGACAAAAGAACACTAATGACAAAACTGACAAGAAAATTACATTGTAATTCAAATGTGGCCGTGACATTTCAGTGACATTAACCGTTGAGGTCAATTTTGTTTTAATTGAGCTTAAATTGTCATTACTTTTTTTTATATATTATCATTCATTATAACTGACATACATAAAACCATACATATGACACCATCGACATGTTGAATAATTTAAGCATGACCTTGATCTGTAAATTACCGTGACAGTCAAAATCAAAACCGAAATTTTAATTATATTTTGTACAAGAAGAGTATTATGTACTACAATATTCTACCTCCGATGTGTTTGACTTCAGAAATAAGATATAGTCGAGCGTGGCCCACATTTGGTGCTTACTCTTCTTTTTACTAGACTTAGTTTCCCTACAGTTTATGTCTTACTTTTGCTACAGATAAAAGCTGGTATCACAAGGGTCTTTCAAAGTGTAATTGAAAGACCCTGCATGATATCACATATAACGTATTGGTTCGTGGATCAGATAATTCGCTTATCACCGGACTTGACAACAATGTTGATAAAAGCAGAATAATCAATAGTTTTGTCCTGGCTTCCAGAGGTTAGGATTGACGCTGACCAGTCTTCGGTGGATAGTTACTGTAGTATACTTAATTTTAAACAGGTTATTATTCATTGTAAAATACGATATGGAGTACACACATGTAAAAAGCTATATCCCAGCAAACATTACATATAGGACCGATGTCGGCCAGATATCATCTTCAATGTCGGCCCGATATCGGCATCCGAAGTCGGCTCGACATCGGATGTGCAACCCGGCTCAAAGTCGGGCCGATATCGGATGCCGATATCGGGTACCGACTTACAGCCAATATTGGATGTGGTGCTAGTTTAGTCTGATATAGGTATTGCAGATGTATACGAGTCCAATAGATTCAGTACTGTACTCAATAATGTATTACAATGACGTTTTTATGTTACACAAGCATCTTGTTTTTGAAAGTTTGGCAGGACCATGCTTTAAATAAGTAGATGAATATGTCTTACACTATCATAAAAGTAATGGTCTTCGTATATAAGTTCAACTGAAAACATAGCAAAACTGATTTATCAGGCTTATAGAGTATACAGTTATTATTTATTACTGTTATTATTTATCTAAAAAGTTTATACAATGTACAAGATCGTTGGCCTGGTCAACGACCTACAATAGTACTAGCTGATTATTTGCGTTACATATACTGTTATATAAATGTAATTGCGACTTTTGTAAATGTTCATAAAATATAATCCACATCAACCCCTAAAAAACAAACAAACAAACAACAACAACAACAAAAAGCACGTTTATAATAGGGAGTCACATTTTGCAAAAAGTAAATATCTTATAATATCGTGTACGGCGAGTAGGCTAGCTAGCTTTAGCTTAAAATTGTTCTTTCTTTAACGAGGGTTTTGGTGTTTCATAGTTTGTCTGTATATTATCACATAAAGATTACTATTATCAATTAATTGTCAGGCCATTAGTTGGAAATTATCAGTCTTAGCAAAGCCTACAGGAGAGAATGGGTAGTGAACCTATCACGGGCGGTCAATGAACCAAGATAGGGAATAAATAATATTATTTTAACAACAAAAAGAATTAGACGGTAAGTGCGAAACTTGCCTTAAAGCTAAATCACTTACCTAGATCCAATTTAGATTGTAGCGACATTTTTATACACCTTTTTATATGCCGTTAACGGGTTATTTAAACTGCTCTCAAATTATGTTTTATATATACAAGAATTATCTAAACCGTGCACATTTTAAGATTGTTATCATGAAAGTGAAGTTACTGTCACACCCCTCCCCTAACCCAACTGTAAATTATATTATATAACCAAAATATCAATTGACCACTTTGACCTTCTATTACCTATCAACCACAGTATACTTATTGAAGTCCAATGTTATATTGAGGTGCTTTTATTAGAAAAAGTTATTTTGTTTGTAAGTTTTGTTTGGTTTTACGGCACACTAACACAATTTAGATCATATGGCACCGAAACAAGAAAGCTAATTTTGACTAACCTCGGGTGATACACCAGGGGTCAAAACCGCATCACCTGCTGGAGATATGAGATGCATTACCTCCAGTAATTCGAACCACGGATTTATATTACAATATTTATAATATAAATCCGTGTTCGAACCCATTAAGTCGCCTCTTATGATCACACAGGGATAAACGGCGGCTGCAATTTTGATGCCTCAAGGTAACCCCTCGGCCACAAAGGGGAGGAAAAGTTAAAATACAGTTGATTTACGGAAAAATAAGATATATCTATATAAAGCTGAGGCGGAATGCAAATTCGCAACGAAATCCACTGCCAACATGTGTGTTTCAAACAATCCTTTATAAACACATTATGAATACAACATTTATTTACTTATATTTATCAATGATAACTTTTATACCCAAACCACACGCTCTTCACCTTTTTTTTGGCCATACATTACTTAAAATATGTTTCGGCCCAGAGTTTCATTATCAAAATGCTAAAATAAATATGCCACTGTACATATATATTTGAGGAGCAGGCTGACTTGGTTCTATGCTGGTTTCAAAGGGTAAGTAATTATTGCCCAATATTTTTTAGAGTAAATTCTTGGAGGACACAACTTTTATTTTTGTAACGAAAGTACTTTTCCATTTCAAAATCAACAAGTGAAGAAGGAGCCTGGAATCAAACAGTTTAGGTGTTAGTTTTAACTTATTTATTTACCTCGAATGCGAAACAAGTTCTTGCAAGTTGCATGAATCACTTTCGAATCTAACAAGTATTGGTTCCCTGAAGAAACATGATTGTGACCTGAGGAAGACTCGAACCCATGGTCCCTGGGTTGAGAGGCAGACACCTCAACCACTAAGCCACCCTCCCCTTTTGGGTGTTAGCCTCTCAACCCATGTAAATTGAGTTAAATTCCAGTTCAGAACATATATAGCCATGTTTCATTGTATGAGACCAGATATATTTAGTCCAGGAAATGTACTAGAAAGTAATAATTCTAAGTTGCAAGAATATATTTTACATTCTAGCATGCTTCATCAAACAGACAGGACAATTAAGGGCATTATTACACGATACTAGTATATGCACAGCATAAACAAGGAAATGCTTACATGTCATATAACGATATGTATGACGTCAATAAGCCAAAAGACGTCAGGAAAATTACTTCTACGTTTTTTTGTTCAACGTAGTTAAACATTTTTTTTATCAATTCACTTTTTTATTAGCTTGTTTTAATAGAAATACATGTAGATATCTATTTATTTTTATTTAATTTATTTATAGTATAAGAATGCAGTTTATAGTTCAAATGCTTTGCAATTAATATTCCTATGCATCTGAACTTAAACAGCATCTGAACTCGAACATTATTATTCTACACCAATGCACTCGAAATTGATATCTAATTCCAAAGTTAAGAGTAAAAAACAAGAGCTGTCGATAGGACAGCGTACTTGACTAATCTCAATGCTTGATAGAAACACAAGAATCTGGATAATGTAGATTTTTTTGAAGTTGAAAACGGGCCACAATTCTGTCAAATTCCAAGTTAGAGTATTAGAGTATTAGGCCTTGGATAGTGATCTCCTATTATGTTCTCAAATTAGTGTGTAAAGTTTCAACTTATTTCCTTCAATAGTTTTTGAGATACCAACTTGCACACAAAAAAAATAACTTAACCAATAGAAGCTGACGCCTGGGTGAGTCACATAGCTCTCACTATTTTTAGAATAGATCTAGTCAAGTTAAACAAAACAATATATTGTTTAATTTGTTGTAAAGGGAAAATAAAGATTAAGATAATTTTAAAAATTGCACCAATTTTATTGGACATCTTCCAGCAATATTTTATTAACAATATTAACATTAAATGGACATAATTTAACAACAACAATCAAACCATATTCACTCAACACAACAAAAAAAAATAACTACATTCCACTAAAAATGTGCACATTCATTTTTTTCTTAAATTATCAAAGGCACACTGTAAAATAAATAAATTAACTAACTATAGCTTGACAAAATTTGTTTGAATGACCCAAGAACATGTACCAAACGAATGTTTGTTTTGTTCATATACCCCAGAATCTTAAAAAAAGACAAATTTAATAAATTTCTTTCATCTAAAATTATCTATTTATGTATATTAACAATTAAAAGGACAAATAACCATATTGGATCTACTTTCCTACATATTTTATCATCTTAAATACTTTCTTTTCTATATTCTTAATCTTAAATATGTTCTCTTCTAACGCAATAAACATAGAGAAAGACAATAAATGTGTAGCAACCGCCAGATTACAACTGGATGTTATTTCTTGAAATGAAAGTGTTCACTAAAACAATTTATATACCTTTATTTAACAATGTTCAATTTTAAGTTTAATATAAAACTCAATGTTTTATGTAAAAACAAAGCAAAAATCAATAAGTTTATATCATGGGTGCAAGTTAAAAATATCATTTATATTTTGTTACCATTTATTTGAAATTTGTTAAATACTGATTACGGAGAGAGTTTTCAAAAAATCTTTACAAGCTTCCTACTCAATCCGTAAATTTTATTTTATGTAATTTATTATGTAAATGTGTGGATTATCAATAAAATATTGTTTTAACTAAAAATATCAGAAAATCTGAAAACGCAGTATTATTTCAATTGGTTTTATATAGAAAACAAGAGCTTTCAAAAGTAGAAAAAACCTGAACTTCAGGCAAATGCCTGAAAATTTATACCCATGTAATATATATTAGATATCAAAATGTTAGTGTTTTTGGGAAAAACTCAAATGATAGTCGGATGTAAAAAATATGAAAATTTCGTTTTTATATTCTATCCCAAACAAACAATTGTATAAAAGTTATGACATTATAATAATCAATCTTTTAAAAAACGAAAGAAAAAACCTGTCAATCAAATAATTTCCTAGTACTCATATTAAACATAACTAAAATGACACTGTAATAAAAGTAACACCTCTGTATTTATATCAATATTCTTCCAACTTGATCCCATACATGAACCTTAATTTTTTTTAAACATAAAGAGTTTAAGTTAAGTTAACACCGGTCATATTCCCCAAACATATCTACCACATCATAGTAAGGCTGAGTTTTCTTGTGAAAAATAAAATAATTGTACAACATTTAATTGAATCACAAATATGGCATTTTAAAGGGACTCCACTGAGATTTTTTGACATGATGGGACTGGAAATAATTTTTCAAGATTAGTGTTCCATTTAATGAAAGTTTAGACAAATAACTAGTGTAAGAAATTTTGCACCATTCGATTACTCTATTTTCCTGAATAACTATTCTAAATGTGCCAAATTGAAAAGTGTTGAAATGCTTTTCACTCACATTGGGCTTAGAATAGCACAAAAATATATTTAATGTCCTTTTTATATATTTCTTATTAATCATTTACATATCTTTAAGTGCATAAGTGATTAATGTAAGAAATTCAAATTTTATATTTTTAGGCTTTTGACCTCAGTGGAGTTCCTTTAACATAATTTTAATTCTTATATCCCGAAGTGAAACAAATTTAATTCAATTGTGAGAGTCCCAACAATTAAACAAGACATTACTTTGAAATAACTGACATCATTCAGTTAAAATGTGTACTAGAAGTCTTCCTATTGAATAATAGGCATGTAATAATATATGCACACAAGAAATGAAATAAGTTTATAATACTGAAATATTGTACAATTTGTTTCCTGCAAATCTAGAAATAAAAATGTGTATGTACAGTTAGGTTACAATAATGCTTATGTTTTGTCTGAGGTATTACACGACAAACACTGTCAGGAGCACCAATGTCAATCAATTTGAAAAGGTTATTTGTTTTGCAACTTGTTAACAGTGTAAATAAGATAAATAATTAAATATAACCCAAGTGGCGTTCGACTTTAGAAGCTGTTTTGTAGTTAAATGGTCTGAACATAACTTTAAGAAAATTTATCCATGTAATTTTTATAATAACTGCAATAATATATGATTTTAAAGGGACTTGACCGAGGGTTTTTTCACATGATGGAACCAAAAAATATATTTTTTCAACAGCTTTGTATAATGTCCTTTTTATATATTGTAGGTCTTCACAAATAACTTAGGTAAAAAATTTCAGGTCATTTGCTCATTCCGTTTTCCAGGAATAATCAATTTTATTATGCAAATTGACCTCAAAATGAAAAGCGCTGTAACACTTTTCACTTAAATCAGCCAAAAAATAGCACAAAACTTGATTATCAATTTAATACAGAGTATATTTATATATCATCTATTGCATAGTTTTCAATTTTAAGTGTACCAGTAGATTTATGAAAGAATTTCAAATTAAATGATTTAAGGCTATTTGACCTCAGTGGAGTTCCTTTAAACGCTATGCATTTCAAATGGCTGTCAATCAAATGTCAAAATAAGACTGCTTATCTAATTGGTAGTTACTTGTTCCATTAAAAAAATTATGTCCCATGTTTTGTGTGACATAAAAATCTTGTACCAAAGAAATACAACAAAAAACATTGACTTTATGTCACAACATAAACAAACATTCAAACATTCGCACAACACATTCTACCTACAAACTTTTAGTTTACTCACACACCCAAAATCATATCACAATTAAAACCAGCCATTTTTCTCTGTCCATCTAACAAAATCACATCATATTTTCAAGCCATTCATCTTCTGTAACCACATTTAAACTGAACGGATTTCTGTGTATATTTAATCTCTGGTCAAACAACAATTTGTCATCTCAGCGCAGTAACGAGTTAACTCCTTCTATAATTTAATATAAGTTAAACTCTTACTGCACTAATGTGATGAATTGTTCTAAATATGTTCTAAATATAAAACTTGATTTCTTAAGTTAGCCTAAACAGACTAAGTATGACGCGATGGTAACAGTTCAAGCGTAGTTCTCATAGAAGGCAAGTTTGAGCCTCTCTATCTGGTGGCACAGCTTCACGGCTGGTCCTAATTTCAGCTCAAGATGTTCTTGTATAGCAGATAGATTCATTAACAGAAATGCCTGCCCATCCACTTCCTGAAATAATTTATAACAAAGTTAAAGATATTAACTGTGATTAATATTTCATTATTATACAAAACAAGCCTTGTAGTTTCCAAAATAAACACTCAATATGATAAAAATTAATTTGTGTAAAAGGTAAGTCAAAGGCATTAAAAGAAATACTTCTTGTCTAATGTGCCACTAATATTAGCCTGCAAATTTAGCACTAGTCCGCTAACCCATAGCCTGTAGACTTAAAAACATTTTTTTCATGACTATCTACAAAGCAGTTACTAAACTACTATGTTAACAGTATGCTATAGAATATATTCATAATAATGTTTAATCACATTGTAACAATATGTTATAGAAATTGTCACCTGTTCTTTGATTATCCTGGCAAGGTGTGAGCAATCAGTGGTTTTCAGGAACTGTACAACTTCATTTACAGACCAATTTAATGGGTTACTCTCTAACTTCATGGAACCTTCTCTTGGCACCAGGGGGCGCTCATTTTTTACCTCCACAGGCCAAGACTTCGGCTGAAATGTCGAGTAAATTATGTCAGGTATACATCAAGGATAACAAATATAGTTTTAAAATTTGTAACAAATTACTTTTTAGGGTAGAAACATCCTTCTGACTTAGTGGTTAAGGGTACTGACTTTTCACCATTTAGTCCTCTTTAAACCACAGGGACTGCTTTTTTTACGAGAAGTTACTTTGACCTTGGTTAAGCAGCCTTATGACCTGGGTTATCTTGGCTAAAATAATGCTAATATAACCATAAATCTATTCTTCATAGCAAGTTAAACAAAAGGGCAATGATAGCCCTAGATTCCTTGCTTCAGAATGTTTGCTTGACAAGATCATACTTTCTTCAAGGCAGAGGAAGGTTACTGAGCCATGTTCAATGTCATCCAAGGTCAACTTTTTATTTCATAAATGGGACATCAACTGGATTCAACCCATAATAAAACCTCACCTTTGAGCATGCCGAGCTAATGTGAGCAAAAAAGCATGGTTTTCCCATATAATCTAAATTGTCTTGAAATAGAAACATTTATGAAGTTATAAAATACCCTCTGATTTAATATCAAAAAATTATTTCCTGTTAGACATTGACTAAAGAAACACTTCAAAATACACTCGTTCAATACTTAAAGAAATACATGGCATGAAATGTGACCGTGACTGTAGGACACAGAGACCCTCACATTCCAGTGTTTTGTCAGTCTAAAGATGGAAAGTGTTGAGACTTCAGGACAGCGTGACAGACTGACAATGGCAAAATCTATATGCTCACCACAGCCCTGGAAATAATAAGTGCATTAAAATCACTGTATCAATCATGTATACATTTTTAGAATAACTTACTATGAGCCTTTTTAATCCTTGCTTGTGTTTTTCAGCATGTGCTGCTCCCTGGGACATCAGTATTTTTCTATGTGATTTTTTCTCGAAGCTATACTTCGGCAATTTTGCTCCTCTTGTTTGTATGTCATACCTTCTCCTCTCAGCCGTCATTATTCCTGTATCATAACATTGTAACAGTTTGTTTAATAAGGAAAGATTTTTTTTTGTAATTTTAAGATTACACTTACAATGTTAAGTTATATGTAGACATATTTAAGTTTGTTTGATTGGGCTTACTTCACACTGACGAAATAAAGATCATATGGCAACATTCTGGCTTTACAGGTGGAGGAAGATCTCCGGTGACATTCGGTGCATTATTTCAGGCAGTAAGGGCATGGACAAAGCTGGGTAAAGCAAACACAACTTTAAACCACATTTTTATACAGGTTACTAATAAATTAACAAAATCTGTATGAAGAGCAGCATGCTCCATTTTTCACAGGTATGATTTTCTAAAGGCCTTGTAAACAACAGACATGCAATTATTTCAAAAATGAAGTTCACAAAGGGGAATTACTTATTCAAAAACAACCCATTTAAACATTGTTGGTTTGATTAGTGATATACTTTCGTGACGCTTAAGAAAGGTGCAATCTCAACAACATAATTAACTTTTAAACAATAACGCATGTAAAAATCAGCAAAAAAACGTCAGAAACTGCAAAATTGAAAATGTTGCTGGCTCAGTTTGATTGAGCCCGTAAAATGTTATATCAAAATACTAACAAATCCCCATATCTATTTTTATAAGAGAGCTGAAAATTGAAATTAAACAGTTTACCATCTTCATCATCATAATCAATGAAGCCTTCATCTTTCAACAGATCACCATTAGCATCGTACTGCCTCTGACCTTGACCTTTCTTCTGTATATATAGAAATCGTTTCTTCTTACGCCCTCGTTTCTTCGGTTCCCTGCTTCGGTCATCAGAATATGTGGACGACCTCACACTGATTAAGTTGCTGAATTTTCTCTTCTTTCCATAATTTGGATCTATGAATAGAAACAACATTTCACTGAATGACAGCAATAGTATATAGTAAATAGAATTGTTAATGTACTTATGAGAGAAATGGTTATGTTGTACTTTTAAAAGAACTAGTTAATGTTAAGAGAATAGGCTATGTTGTATTCAGTACAGAAATAAAAGAATGAAACTTCTTTGACAACTTACTTGATTTAGTTTTTGTCAGCTGTTGACAGTTTTCAGGGCAGTTGTTACGTACTTGTACGGGACTGAACAGGTACGGGCAGCATTCCAGCTTAATACACGTGTTTCTACAGAAATCCTCCAACTGTGACTCAGTCTGACATACCTCTATAACAGCCTTGTACTTCTTCCCTTTATACCTGGTGTTAATAAAATAAAGTTTAATTTTTTAATTCTGTATGATACAAAACATAAACCTGTGCGCTTTCATAATATTTTAATCCATACAGGAGATTCTGTTTTTTAATCTCTGATGTTACGATGGGCTAAGCCACTCTTTACTAAGTGGTAAATATAAGATATCTTTATTAATATGTTATCCATATTAAATTGACAAATTCTAAATCATACATTGTTTGTTTGTTTATTTTGAGTTTACGTCACACCGACACAGTATAGGTCATATGGCGAAGTTCCAGCTTTACTGGTACAGTATAGGTCATATGGCGAAGTTCCAGCTTTACTGGTGCAGTATTTCAGGCACCAGAGTAGAACCACTAACGTTCCATAAGCTAGCTGGATAGCTTCCTCACATGAAAGAATCCAAAGTCACTGTCGGGATTCGAACCCACAGTGGTGAGGGGCAAGTGGTTTGAAGTCAACGACCTTAACCACTCGGCAACGGACACCCCCAAATAATGTATTAAAATACATTATAATTTAAGGAACTCCACTTTTCTTACTCAACTAAGGCACTAAAAACAGAAAGATATCTATGAAAGAATAAAAAGAAATATACTCAGAATTAAATTGAAAATCTTATTTTTGTGTTATTCTTTGCCCAGTTTGAGTTTAAAGCATTTTAACTTTTTCATTTGGGGTCATTTTGCACAACAATTAAAATGATTAGTCAGGGAAAACAGACTTCGTGACAAAAAAAATTTTGCATACAGATTATTGACAATGCCCTACATCAAATTTTGGAAAAAATAATTACAATGCCTTCAAGTAAAAAAATCTCGGTGGAGTACCTTTAATGTAATTATCCTTAGTAAGGCATACATTTCAATAAATAGATTTCATAATGTTATACTGCACATGTATATGCATTGCCTTTGACAATATAATATCTACTAAAGGGCCATTATGCCTTCGAAATGCTATCATTTTTATTTCTCAAAAACTCTCTATAAATTTACTCATTTGCCACATATATAAATTATCCTTTACTTCTTTTGCTTTGTTGGCAATGGGTATAATCATAATAAATGAGTATTTTGTACGGAAGTCAAAATACCAGTTTGTTTACATTTTTGCTACCTTTACGACACATTTAGCACCACTTTCTTCAGTTGTTAAACATCTAATGTGTTCTGAATCCATTATTGAAACATGTTAGACATTTCTCAAGTATTAAAAATATAGATTTCTGAGGCATAATGTAAGGCATAATGTGCCTTTAAGTGGTACAAATGAAGCCAATTACTGTTTAGTGAAAAGGTATGAAAGTCCATGTTAAACCAGTTACCTTAATATATAATTAACATAAACTTTATAAAAATAATGATATTGAAAGATGTTTTTTTTAAAAATATGTTATACTTACTTTGCTTTCAGAATGTGTGCCTTCATACTCGGGTTGAATGGTCCTTCTTGTTGGATCTCTTTCAACGCTCTACAAGGCACATATGCTATACTCACTAACAAACTTAATACCTGCAAATATATGATAACTACTATACACATACAGTGTTGGTTTATACAGAATTTATTTTAGTTTGATTGTGAAGGAAGCTATAAGCTTATAGACACACATTATAATCTGTTCCTGGAACCAACCAGTACTGAGCAATGAGTATAAAGTTTCTTGCTCAAGGAAACAACCATTTGCCCCTGACAGGGTTTGAACCCATACCACTAGCTATACTTAGATAACCACTCTGCCATGCCGCCACACAAATAGTGTTGTATCCCATGCGGATGGATCTTTAACAAGCGTTATAGATAGTTTCTGATTTTTTTAATATTCAAATTTTACCTCACTTGAAAAAAGTGGCAGCCACTTTACGGGTCAATATTCCATGTCATTTAATTGACAAAAAATGAAAACTTCAATATCAACAAATGATTTTGGTGAAGTGACAAATTTGGTTGGAGAGAGGGTCATCCCTTGGAAGCAGAAATCACAACAAAGTTAGATGAAAAATGCAGACTCGGTTCAATCGAGTCTGTACATGAGCGATAATGAAAAAGCGCAACATCCCTCATGGCCCCTATCATTGGTTTGAGCGGTACTCAATTTTCAACACTTTAAAGTGCCAGAATAAATGATCCCGAAGGACCAGAAAAATATAACAACAGGTATTACCAGTCACAAATATATAATATTTACCTCTCTTAGAACAAGATCCATCGGCCCTGGACCAACATGCTTCGGTAAATCTGATATACGACCTTTGCTTAAATATGGACCAGAGAAACATCTGTGATTGAAGTAGATCGTTGGGCACCAGGCACCTAAAATGTTTGATAATCCATTAGTGTAATATGTCAAATAATTTATATGTAACAAAACTTACACTAATTTTGAAAAAGTATTTAACAAGAGGGCCATGATGGCCCTGAGGTCGCTCACCTGTATAAAGGCACCCGGAGCGGGGCCAGTTTAAACAAACCCCAGGGCTTTTATTTGAACAAACTTGGAAGACACACATTAGAAGATGTTTCATGATGTTAAGTTTTTACTACACACATATAATGAAAAACAACGATCTACCCCCCTCCTTCTGCCCCCCCTTCCCCCCCGCAGGGCCAATTTTAACCCAAGGGCTTTTATTTGAACAAACTTGGTAGACACCCATAAGAAGATGTTTCATGCTAAACATCTAAGCTCTAGCTCATTGGTTTTTTTTAAAAGAAGATTTTTTAAGTTTTTGCTATACAAATATAAGGAAAATCAATAACACCCAGGGCGGGGCCAATTTTGACTCCAGGGCTTTTATTTGAACAAACTTTGTAGACACTCACTAGAAGATGTTTCATGCTTAATATCTAAACTCCAGCTATTTGGGTTTTTTCAAAGAAGATTTTTTAAGTTTTTGCTATATACATATAAGGAAAATCAATGACCCCCGGGGCGGGGCCAATTTTGACCCCAGGGCTTTTATTTGAACAAACTTGGTAGACACTCATTAGAAGATGTTTCATGCTAAATATCTTAGCTCTAGCTCTTTGGGTTCTTTAAAAGAAGATTTTTTAAGTTTTTACTATATGCATATAGGGAAAATCAAAGACCCCCTGGGGCGGGGCCAATTTTGATCCAAGGACTTCTATTTGAACAAACTTGGTAAACACTCACTAGAAGATGTTTAATGCCTAATATCTAAACTCTAGCTATTTGGGTTTTTTCAAAGAAGATTTTTTAAGTTTTTGCTATACACATACAAATGTATAAGGAAACTCAATGACCCCCGGGGCGGGGCCAATTTTGACCCCAGGGCTTTTATTTGAACAAACTTGGTAGACACCCATTAGAACATGTTTCATGCTAAAGATCTTAGCTCAAGCTCTTTAAGTTCTTTAAAAGAAGATTTTTTAAGTTTTTACTATATGCATATAGGGAAAATCAATGACCCCCTGGGGCGGGGCCAATTTTGACCCAAGGGCTTTTATTTGAACAAACTTGGTAGACACTCATAAGAAGATGTTTCATGCTAAATATCTTAGCTCTAGCTCTTTGGGTTCTTTAAAAGAAGATTTTTTAAGTTTTTACTATATGCATATAGGGAAAATCAAAGCCCCTGGGGCGGGGCCAATTTTGACCCCAGGGCTTTTATTTGAACAAACTTGGTAGACACTCTTTAGAAGATGTTTCATGCCAAATATTTAAGCTCTAGCTCTTAGGGTTTTTTTAAAAGAAGATATTTAAAGTTTTTTCTTTCGGTTGCCATGGCAACCAGAGTTCTGCATGGAATTAAATTCTTTGAACAATTTTTAAAGGTGACCACCAAAGGAACATTCCTGTGAAGTTTGGATGAAATTGGCTTAGTGGTTTATGTGAGATGTGAGATGTGGAGATGTCATTTAAAGTAAAAGTTTACGGACGGACGGCCGGACGAAAAGCGATCACAAAAGCTCACCCTGTCACTTTGTGACAGGTGAGCTAAAAACATAAAGATAAAATAACCTATGAGTAACTGTGCTACTGCACTTTCTGTCATATTGATAACTAGAAAGAAACTTATGTTTGAGCAAATATATTTAATAAATCTATACAATGTGCTTGTTGTTTTGCTTGCTTTTAACGCTGATTTAAAAAATTTTTTTGCTTATATCTCAGCCGTCAGTCCTTTTAACCAGTTTTCCTAGATAACTAACCAGTAAATAACAAGTTCTTTGAAAGTGGCAGACTAAACATCCCTAAAGAAGTAAATATTTATTTGTTTCTGAGGCATAATGTGCCTTTAACAAAATATGGTTTTCATGCAACATATTAAATTAATACAGTTAACTGACCTTTTGTCTGACTAGATGTTATTGAGCGATAAACTTCTTCTGTTCTCCGTCTGGAATTCAGCAAAGATTTAAAATCATGAATAGCAGTTGAAATAAATTGCTAAAAGTGAAATATGTCTGTGGTATATGTCTGTATGAAAGATAAAATAATTGCAAGAGAAGTTTCTTTTACTAAGAAAAATATTGGTAAGTGCCTTTGCTTGCAAATGGTCATAGTTTACCATTTACAAAAAAACTATTTACAGAACAAGTTTACTGTTTTGTAGTTTCAGGATATACATATTTTTAAACAGTAGTTTAGTTACTAGTAAGCAAAATATTTGTAAATATTTGTAGACTGAATTTTTCTTAGACAACCAGTGCAATCTTAGCACAACACATTGGGAGACAAAATTTTTTGCTGTTACTGAGAGGTCTTGCTCTGCAGAGGTTAAAATTACTGTGAAATCTTTGCTTAGGAAGAATTCAACTGTTAATGTAAAATGGTAATTGCTCTATTGAGGGCTACTTCTGGAGATTTCATTGTACAGTCAGTCATAAGTCTATTTTTCAACAGTAAAGAAAAATGCAGAGGCTAGATAGACGACCCAATTTTATTAACTTGTTTGTTTGTTTCATTTTACGCCTTTTCCCAACAGTATTTCAGTCATATAGGTGGGTAGTTTCCTAACCATCGTTCCTGGAGTGTTAACTTAACTATATAGGTTCCTAATCATAAAGTTTGAACTTGATTAGTGGCAAAGAACCCCAAAACCTCTATGTATATATCATCTTGGGCACAAAGAAGGATATACTCCGATAGAATCTAAGTTAGCTAGCTGGATGCTTTCCTAAAATGACATATTATACCCCATTTCAATAATTTATTTACAAATATAAGAAGCCAGCAAAAGAGTGTCCTTATTAAGGACTATCTATATATAAGAAAACATACTCTGACATGCGTCTTTGTCTCTTTTTTGCCTTTATTGGTGGTTTAAGTTGATAATTATTACTCTCACACCACCCGACATGGAACAGATTGTGCGAGTCTATGTCTTCTATATGACTAGGAATGTCTCTCATATGATCTAGATGTATCCATAGCAACGGACCAACAATCTTGGTGATGGTGGCTGCACATATCTGATTGTGATTGTTGGGGTTGACAGCCTCTAACTTCATACCTCTCTCAAACTCATGATCCTCTGTTCCCTATACAAGCAGAACAAAACATGATTTATACAGTTATCAGCACAAGAAAAGTAAAATAACTTCAACATAGAAAGTATACATGCATATTCAAACAACATTCTACAGAATCACATCCATTAACATAACAAAGCGATAAAATAGCTTTGGTTGAAAATTCTTTGCATTCAGTCATAATGGAAGTCAGACTATACCAAAAAGACAGTGGAAACTGAAATAATACAAGTGGCCAAAATCTACACATAAATTACATGGTCAGTTGTTGACAAGTTACTCAATACATCAATCATAGATAATGTAAGAAATCAGAACTTACAGAGTGAAACAACTTCTCTGGAGCAGCTTTAGCATTACACATTGACAAATATTCTCCCCAAACAAAATCTCCACCACTCCACCCTATAATATTAGAAATATATATAAGCACAATCAATCGATCCATTGATCAATCAATCAATCAATTTTTACTTTTTCAAATGGACTTGTCCTTTTTTGAGTCTGGAAGTAATAATTGTTTTTAAATCATAAAACATAAGAAAGATAAGATTAATTAGCTACCAGTTTAACACTAGATGTACATTATATCAGCATAAGCTGGCCTGATTTGAAACTAGTCGCAAAGGAAATAATCGATACTGCTGCCAGAATCTAAGAAACAAAATGTTTGTATCAATTATTTTTTTCGTCTAAACTCAAGTCTAAGAAATAACCTCCTGTCAACAAACAAATAACTTACCAAGAGGTGGACTTAGACGAATTCCTTTACACTGACACCATGAGATAGGAAATATTCCCAGATACTCGGAGTTACAGCAGATTTGAATGTTCTCGTGTTCAATCCTCACATCGTCCATCTCAACAATGAAGTAGTACTTGTTGATCACCTTGGTTACGGTGGCAGGACCGATCGTATTCATACCTGGATTTAACGCTTCAAGTTTCATCCCAACAGCAAACTGGTGAGTTTTCAATATTTGTTGGTCCTGTGAAATTTAAAAAACAAAATGACAAATCAAGAAAATTTAATTTTAGTCTAAATATGTTGGTTTGTCCCTAAGTGATACTTAGATTACTACCATTCTAAATATGTTCATATCTAAGGCCCTACGCATAGCGCATAGCGGAGTTCAATATTTTGTTCTTATTTTAGAATATATGTCAGTCTTCTCTAAGAAATCAGATCCCGAGTTATTCCCTAGGTCAGTTATAAAATTAACTCAAATTAAAAAGAACCAGCACAACATATAAAGTGCATTATTGAAACTACAAACAACAAAAATAAAATCAGGCCTAATAAGATTTAATTTACTACCAGTCTAACTTCAGATGTAATTTCATTACTGATATTCTTGTATCTTTGCTATATATCTAATCTCACATTCATAGTAAAGAAAGACTCTAAAGATGCTCGTATTCAATTATTTTAGGCATTGTCATGCAACCAAATAGAACCACTACAGACCTGTCAGCCAATCGCAATCGTCACCAGTTCTCAAAAGGTTAAACAACACTTACATTATATACAACAGCATTTAAGTTATAAACATCGGTACACCTACCTTAAACACATCTTCAGGTACACCATCCTCCTCACATTCTTTTAGAGCTGCCTGTAGAATCTCTGACCAGTTTTCATCTGTTTGTTCATCACATATATCTACAATTATATCAAAATAGAATCAAGTCAGTTTGCTGGTGATGGAACTTCACAGAAACAAAAATTATAGCAAAGTTGTTGGGAATTAGAAATAAATATATTAAAGTGTGTTAACGTAACAGGACGTCCTGTAGGGTAAATCCACTAAATTTCGGTCAGGCGGGGTAACTCGGTCAAATTTATATTCCGGTCATTTTTCGAGCCGTCACCATTCCGTATTTGCATCCGGTCTATACAAATATTTATGTTCGTAGGCTTCTACACGCGTGTTTTCTTTCCAAACATAGTAACTTCACTCGTGATTGGACAAAATCATGCGCATTCGATATGACCTATACTTCCTTTTCCGTTTCACAAAGTTTTGGAGGCGCCAAAGTTTGAAATTTGTCAAAAGTTATCCATCTAATCAGAGGTTTGTATACATCGCATACTCTTATTCTTATGTATTTTCGGATGAAAACTTTTCAATTTTCCAGCATATGATGATTTCTTCATGAATTTTTAAGAGATTTTATGATAATTGTTGAAAAATATTAGCTGTCCGAATTTCCCAGATAAAAAATCTAGCAACCCCATAAGTCGGACAACTTATTTTAGTGGCAAGAAAAATTCGGACACTTAGATAGCATGTTAAATTAAGAAAATATGTTACTTAAAAATACTACATAGAGGATATTAAAGTGTTTTCTATAAAAACAGGGCTTATATTTAACGTGTGGTATCTAAATATTTCATGAAAATGGCAGTACCTACGAGTGAAAAATGAAAATTTTCACACCACAAGATGAAAATAAGTCAAGCATGAATAAAAAACCTTTAATTACAAGACACTAGTGAAAATACGGGAAATATGTTTCACTGCAAATAAAATAATAGTCTACAGTGAAAATACAGTAAATGAAGATACACATTTTATTTTATCAATATTTCTCAATGTTTCTTTTATAAATTTATAATAAGTAGGTGTATGTAACATCTGACGCTCTCTTTTTAGGAAGATGAACATTGTTAATAGTTTGCAACACAGAGAAGAAACAAGCAAGATGTGCTACAAATCTCTGTCTAACACTTTGGAGAAAAAACTTATCTTTTTATATGAAAATGAATATTTATATGATCACCCAAAGATCTATGACGTTTGTGAATATCTACTGTCAAAAATCACATCAAAGTTTATGATGGCGGTTCTATTTGAAACATGTTTGTGGAATGAGACCAGCGATGACACAAGTTTAATCTTTGTAGCATCCAGATTTGCAAAAGTTACTAATGATCATTACCTGGCATTATTATTAGATGAAATTAAAACAGATACATTGTAATCAGGGTTAAAATAAAAGAACTATTAACGAGTCTTGTGTTTTGTTGTTTTTATTTCAGTCATGCCACGTACATACATTCACAAGAAAAGAGGTAAAACTCTACAATATGAGAAAACTGATTTATTAAAGGCCTTTGAGGCAACCAAAACGGGGATGTCTGTAAGGAAAGCCGCAGAAGTGTTCAATGTGCCAAGATCAACCTTGGCAGATCGGGCAAGCGGAAGGTTTGGGATGGACGTTTCGCATGGACGCCCGACTGCCATACCCCACGAGGTGGAAAGTAAGATTGTTGAATGTGTGAAGACAGCAGCCGAACGAGGCATTGGTCTCACACGCAAGCAGCTCCTCGTGAGAACCAACGTTTTATGTCAGAGAATCAAGGTATATCTCACACATACAAATAGATGATACATTCTGATGTTCATAGTTCCTACTAATGTGATAATATATTTTTAAATTATAATTTCTTTTTACCTCTTGCTGACAAACGTGAAATACCAAGATATTGTTTTAAAACAAGATCATTTTATTTAGATTACTCAAATTTTCTTTCTACTTAAAGATCCTGTATGTTTTGTGATTGATATTTTACTGTGTGTGTACCACACTTACAACAAATTATATATGTATATAATTATGCAAATAAAATAATTTTGAAATATCGAAGAATATGCAAAACTTTAATAAGTGTACTGTATACTTATTAAATAATTCTTAATTTATGATTAAATTTGACGTAAAACAATAATGCAGTTTGTAATTATTGCTACAATTAAATTTTATAACATATAAAGTCGGAGCAAGTGATAATGCATTTTAAGTGTTCAGTTGACCTTATTTTATCCTGTATCCGACTTGACTGTGATGCCAAACATTATTGTGTGTAAGTCACATATATATTTATATAATTTGAGAAGTTAAGATGGATGACGACATTACACACATTTTATCCGGCTCCTTGTAACACATGAAAATGCACGTCACGTACACTATTTGCCATAAATTAACAAACATTGATGCGATTGGTATAAATAAAAGTTACTTAAATTAAGATTTTCATAAAATTCTTTTACAATTTAAATGGCTGAGGAAAAAGTCATCAAATGATACCTTAAACAGATGACTTTTAGTCGTTGAATTATTAGTCCCGCTAATTTTGTATATTTGTTATTAAGATCATATCCCGTTTAAAGTATTTACTGCTTTGATTCATCCCAAATTTCTTTTTTCTTGGTGACATAACTTGAAGCCTTTAAGTACGCTAAAATAATTGCGCTTTTGTCCTACGCAGAATGCGAATGCATGAAATGCAATACTGTTGCTATGGAAAAATAGCTATAAAAACAATAGCTATTAAAACAATTGCAAATCAATCACTGTTATGAGTTTCGTATGTCTTGTTTACTTTTCAGGTGCACTCATCATACACCAACTTTAAAGCCGGCAAGAACTGGTGGGAAGGAGTAAAAAGACGCCACGGCCTCACACTCAGGCAACCAGAACGTCTTGGGACAACACGTTGCAGAATGATGAATCGAGAAGTAATCAAAAAATACTTTGATTCATTGTCACAAACCATATCTGATCTAAATCTAACAGACAAACCAGATCTGATCTGGAATTGTGATGAAACTAGCAAAAATTTTGAGCATAATCCTGTAAAGATTGTGGCAGGTATAGGTATGAAAAGTGTCTGTGGTAGAACTAGCTCTAAGTCAACAAATATCACTATAATGGCATGCGTAAACGCTGCCGGTGCTGCTATGCCACCAATGTTTGTGGTGAAGGGTAAAACGTCCCGGTCTTTACACTCCTTCAATACCACTGCCGCCCCTCCAGGTACTATCTGGTCATATCAAGATAAAGGTTGGATGACAGACAAAATTGGTGAAGAATGGTTTGACAATATTTTTTTACAAAATTGCGGTCCACAACGTCCCCAACTATTAATTCTTGATGGCCACAGTAGCCATGAATCACTTGCAATCCTGCAGAGAGCAATTGAGGAAAACATTTACATCCTTGCCCTACCTCCCCATACAACTCATCATCTGCAGCCACTCGATAAGTCTGTCTTTGGGCCCTTTAATAAAGCATACAATGCAGCTTGTTCTGAATATTTACAAAACCCAATAAATATAGTGAACAAGTGGAACTTCCCAGTCCTCATAAGTAGAGCATGGGCATCAAGTTTCACCAAAGGAAACATTAAGTCAGGGTTTGCTGCCTGTGGTATATTTCCTTTAAACAGAAATGCTGTTTCAGACCAAGAATTTGCTCCAAGCATTCTTACTGAAAAACCCCACAACAGTGAATTGCCTCCCAGTGAACAAAACTTGTTGTCAGGTAGAACTAGTACTACTAGTTCTAATACTAGTAGTACTAGTTCTATGGCTAGCAACTCGCAATGTTTCTGGTCAAAGCCCGATGAGCATTTAGTACAAACTGCTGACACAAATGTTGATATAACTTTGAACAGCGTTGTCTCTGAAAATGTTCAGATGAATCCTTGTGATGATGCCGCCGTAGACGTTATCACTGATCCGTCTGTGGTTCTAGATCTTCTTAGTAGTGGTGACTTTGTTATTGATGGTGAACTTGACCTCCAGTCAGATATAAATGATGACCTGACCACTTCCTTTATTGCTCAGTCAAGTACGTCTGTATCTGACAACATTTTGAATTCATCATTTAATGATCCTCATCCATCGGAAGTTTTAACTTCCCCTGCAGGGCCTTCAGCAAATTGGAATCACCATATTGAGTCAATCTTTCTTCCTCCAAACGACCATACCGCCCATGTTAAGCAAAAACGTAGAACAATTACTTCCCATAGGCTTCTTACTAGTGATGAGGTAATACAGGAAAAACTGGCACTGGAAAAGAAAAAACGAGAAAAACAAGAAAAACAAAACAAACGTACTAAGCGAATACGGCCAATCAAAAGTGAAAAGATGTGAATCTTTCTAAACAAAAAGACAAGTTATCATTTTGTGCTTCATATCAAATAATATCTATATGAATATGTATGAGTATGGAATACATATGTATGTCATTTTCCAACGATAAATTCAGTTGTTTATTACCTGACATGTACAAATTCTCTGAATAAAATTAAAGCGGTACATTAACTTAAATACCAGAATGAAAATGATTTTGTTGTTGCTATTTTTTAAAAATTAAATGAATGTCCGAATTTTCCAACCCATGTCCGAATTTTGAGTATAAGCGACCGAGTTACCCCGCTTTCACTTACATTCAAAAATCTTTAGTTTTGCGTTAATGTAGCCTCGTTTCGGTGCGCCCATGAATTCGTTGAAAAACTTCGGACGATCTGACAACGGCTTACATCACATTCGGCAGCGTATAGTCAATTGCATAGGTAGGATATAAAATTAACCGTAACCTGACGAAAAAGTGTCCGAAATTTAGTGGATTTACCCTACATTACACTACATCATTTTCTACATTAAATTATTGATGTTCATATTTATATATATAGTAATTAGTTAATAAAGGTCCAACCTGGAAACCACAGCAGATTTTGTTTATTCACAAATGATCCCTGCAATACTCATCTTTAATGACCTCATTTCAGAAATAGAACAAAAGAGCACACAAAGATAATTCACTGAAATTCCTTTATCTAAATTCTTCCCCTATCCAAACAGTATTCAATTATTTATAGTCTAAAGACCTACATTCTATTATAAGTACCTTTCAACTGTAGCTTGAAATAACTAAGTTTTTACCTTGAGGTGGTTTGTAGACACATCCATGCTCACTGGCCCAGCCAACGGGATGAAGTCTTGGGTCTAAGTAAAACATCCAGAAATGTTTGGAGGCAGACTGGGTGCTTTCAAGTCTCAGGTACAACCTTCCTCCTACATTTTCTAGGATCTGGACCAGCCAGACATGTAGAGGGTTCAGTATATCCTGAAGTTCAAGTCTCATACCGCAATTCAACTGGTCAACTGGACTGCACCCAGTACCCTATAAATTATAATTAGCAAATTATGATTAAAGACATGACAGTAAATCTGGTTTAACATCTTATAAAGTTTTTGAAGTGAGCAACACTGCTTTTGCTTGTGTTTCAAGCCACATCAACACTATTAAGGTCATATGGGGAGTTTTTCTGGTCCAGGAAGACCTTAGGTGTGCATTATTTTAGGCACTTAGACCCTTAAGGTCAAATAAATGTTTTCCAAGCTTTACTTGTCAAGAAAGACAAGGTGCTTTTTTAAAACCAGGGACGGTAAATTATCTTTCTCATATAAAAGAAATGAATGTGTATGGAAGGATTTAAACCTAAAGCAGTACAGGACGTATGATCTGAAATCAGTGGCATAAACCACTCAACAACAAATAATATCCTAGATACATTGTATATACTTTTTACATTTTTTTTTTTAAGTTAAGGTAAAAAGTACAGTTTCCTTGATAAATCATCAGGTACATGTATGTTAATAACAATGTTAATTAATGAATGACAAGAACACATTATCTCACCTTTTCAAAGAAATATGAAGGTGCAGTCCTGGCCCCTGTTAGTGACTCTAGCAGAAATACTCTCCAATCACTAACTCTGTCCCGAATGTCTGTGGAAAATAATGAAAACAAAACCAATTTGAAGTGTGGTGCACTTATTTTTCATGATTATTTAAAGAGAACTAGAACTATCGCTGAATGCGATTCATACCCCCACCAATGTCCTTGACAGAAGACGACTTGGAAAGGTGGTTAAGGGAATAACTTAAGTGGCACAAATACATAAAAAGAAATTATCTCTGGTGAAAAAAGACTAATTGTACAGGTAAGAGTATAAATATATATTATCAAATCATGTTCTAAACAGTTACAAATAACCTTTCATTTTCCCAATGTGCTAAACATTTTATTTTTGACCTTCAAGTGTGACATTGACCTTTAGCCAGCACAAAGGTGACAGGGATTCTGCACATAACCTTGTTGAGGTGAACATTTGAGTAAAGTTTGAAGAAAATTCTTCCATTAGTATAGGATTTATAGAGCGGACACAACATATTGTCTAATATTTGATTGTATGTAAATTTGAAGACTTAAAAAGGGGCATAACTTTGTTAAAATGCAATACAGAGTTATGAAACTTGACCAGCATATCTTAATTGTGACACTTCATATATATTTAAAGTTTCAAGCAAATACCTTTTCTAGATTCAGAAATATTCAAATAAATGTTAAAATTTAAGAATATTTTCTGAGTCAATTTTTGACCTACAAGTGTGACCTTGACGTTAAGCGGGCAAAAGGGTGACATGGGTTCTGCACATCCCCTTGTTGAGGTGAACATTTGAGTCAAGATTGAAGAAAATCTTTCAATTAGTGTAGGACTTACAGTGCGGACATGACATACTATGTAATATTTGATTGTTTGATATTTGACCTTCAATTGTGACCTTGACCTTGAGCTGACACATGGGCAACATGGGTTCTGCACATCCCCTTGTTGAGGTGAACATTTGAGCCAAGTTTGAAGAAAATCTTTCAATTAGTGTAGGAGTTACAGAGCGGACACGACATACTGTCTAATATTTGATAGTGTTTGATATTTGACCTTCAATTGTGACCTTGACCTTGAGCTGACACATGGGAAACATTGGTTCTGCACATCCCCTGGTTGAGGTGAACATTTGAGCCTAGTTTGAAGAAAATCTTTTTAATTAGTGTAGGAGTTACAGAGCGGACACGACATACTGTCTAATATTTGATAGTGTTTGATATTTGACCTTCAAATGTGACCTTGACCTGGAGCTGACACATGGGCAACATGGGTTCTGCACATCCCCTTGTTGAGGTAAACATTTGAGCCAAGTTTGAAGAAAATCCTTCAATTGGTATAGGAGTTATAGAGCGGACACGAAAATGGAGACGGATGGACGGACCGACCGACGGATGCGACAAAGCGAATCCATTATAGCCCCCCCCCCCCCCACATTTTGTGGTGGGGGTATAATTAACCTATTCCCATAAAATGATGTGCTGATAAAACACAATGTCCTGAACCCAAATTTGTTAATAAAGAGAAACTGAGATTTCTTGAAATTTGAAAATTAAACCCTGAAGGTCAAGGTCATTGAAGAAAAAGTTAATATTTCCACATGTTAAAATGAAGCCCTTATCAAAGACTAAGTACAAGGTATCTTGCTTATAAAAGATTAAAGTCATCAGTAGGAAAAGACAGACAAAATATGGGACCAAAATAATATGCCCCCCTGACTAATTAATTTACATAAAATCATGCTAAAAATATGACACATGTTCAAATAATCCTCGTAAACTAACATAAAACAAACACTGACCATCAGGTGGTTGTAGATTTTTTCCGTTCTGGGCCGACCAGCCAATCGGATGTATATCAGTAGTGTTCAAATCGCACCAGAAGTCTCCGGAACTCTCCTCACCGTACCCGTCGTATCGTAACCTTAACAACGGCCCACATGTCATGAGAACCGAGGCTACCCAGAACGTAGAGGGATCAGATTTGTTAGGAACTTCCAGTTTCATGCCTCGGATAAACCCACTCTGTAGACTACATTCAACCTATAAATAAAATTAAAATGATTGCAATAAAACGAACAATCACCTAAAAGTGAAAGATTCAAACTTTGTATGCAATAAACTGAGCTAAATCAATTTTAACTTTTTGAAATCCCTTATGATAACAATGGAGTGAATGGACATTTTTCTAATTTTAAGCAAGGCGAATACATTTTCAAACAAATTTAATAGTAAAAGTGGTAAAAAATTTTAGAAGCAGATTGTTAGGATTCAAACAGGGCTATTTTCCTTCTAGCAGGGGCCGTTGTAGGGCTGCATGTTTTCCCCAAAAATTGATTTTACATCAAGTTTTTTCTTTCCTTTTTGAAAATATACTATGCAATTTTTCCCCAAAATCAAGGGCAGGGCTACTTCCTCAACCTGTGAAAAAAAGCCCTGAGACTACAAAATACAGACAATAACACATGACTACTACATGTTTATCTTCACATGTAAAGAACACATGCTACAAACATATCAACTGATGCAACAATAGGAGTTAAAAGTTCTGATGTTGACAAAATTCATGTTCTTTAACTTAATCACTAGCCCTAATTTGTTGGAAATAAAAGTATTGTTACTTATTGCTTTTTTAGTGTATAATTTTATCATTATTTAAAACAAGAGTACATCCATACATGTTTGAAGGCTGTTGGAGGAACTGCAGTAGTTCCAGTCTGTTGAAGATAATCTTCCCATACAAATTCTGGCTCATCATCTTCTCCTAGAAATAACACATAATGTTGTAAATCAAGGTGTTTTAGGAAGTCGGAGGCATTAAGACATATTGTTGTTAACAAAGGTTTTTTTTATAGGAAATGGAACTGATGCATAAGGTCTTATAATGTTTAAAGAAAAGCATGACTGTGGAATCAAAGACAAAAATAATCAAGAAGCTTAAAAGTTTAGAACAAAAGAGGCTATTGAGATTCATCCTAAGGAACTTGTTCAAAACCATTACAATATGCATTCATGAAATTTAAGTATAAAATGCTACATATATCACAATTGTTTTTACCTTCAAAGCTTTGTTCATGAGCTGTTTCATCTTTAAACTGAGCTGTTTCATTATCAGCATCAACATCTGTACACGTGGGTTCACCACTCACTATATCACAGCTGGATGGGGTATTGTCCAAAGAACTTTCTTTAAGTGATGTGAAAGTAACAGGTGCTTTGTCTTTGATGTTAGTGGCCTTTAACTTTAACACAGTATGATGAAAATTTTCCCAAGTTATACTATTACTATCGTCAGTGTATATATCGTACATGTCGGAAGCTGTAGCCGCGTCTTGGCTATCCTCCGAACTACTCGGCTGACTACCTATATCCGCCATTACAGAACCGTCCATTTTCATTTCTACATTGGAATGTATACTTTCGGTATCTTTCACCTCTTCCATCTTTCTTCGACTATTTTGTTCCAAACCCTCGTCCATTGGTTCAAAAACTTGATCCCCACTTTCAGAAATATTTTGCGACAGAGCATCATTGCTTGCCTCAGGGTCACTGACTGTATTATTTGTAGTGTGGTCAGGAATTTCAGCATCTTTTACATCATCTTCATCAGTTTCAATCAGTGCTTCAATGGAATCTTCGGAATCAGATGTCAAAGGTTGAATCTCCAAATAAGGTTCAACACTGTCTTCAGAATGAGTCTAGAACAGAAATGAGAACAAATGATGGTTATTGATTAAGGTGCAAATATTGGTCACAGGGGCTTCATTTGAACAAGCTTGGTAAAGAACCACTAAACAAAGCTATGTTTTAATCATTAAGCCTTTAGGCCTTATAGTGGCTGAGAAGATTTTTTTATACATTTGCCACATACTGGCAAGTCTCTTTAAAAGTAGTGTCCCAAACAGTGGGGTTAATTTGGTAGCTCACTACTAGGTTAGCTATATAAGCTGGGGTTTTTGGAAAATTGGTAAACATTTTATTAAAGATTTCACTTTCAGTTGCCAGATCAAATGTCATTTGAAACTAATGTAGACAGTCACTGTTCCTACAAAGACTGGGAAAAACTGAGGATAACATTTAAGAACAGGAATATAACTTGTAGTTAGTTTCAATAACAAGCTAATATTAAATTTTCAATGAATACTAAACCCTTCAGCATAAACAAAAGAGAAATTTGAAATTTGGACATGATCTAACCTTCATCAAATTTCGTCATTCTTTACAAACAAGAGCATTGGTTATTTATGACCATATTTAGAATAATTAGACCAGCATTAATAAAATTTTCAAAAAATACTTGAAATGTTTGACAGCCAAAATCAAAACTTGGTCTTGGGCTATTTTGCCTTATATTTTGCCTTGACTTTATACCAGTGTACACCACCATTTTTCCTATAATTAAAAACTGTTTCATTTAGGTTGAACACTTGCCTGATCTTGCACTGATGTATAATGTTGCTGATCCAAGCCACCTTGCCTTGATTCCTGGTCCCCTCCTTCTGATAACTCTTCTGAAATGTTTTGATTCTTATCTTTAGTTAATAAACTCAGCTAAGGGTATTCATGATTTTAATGAATTATTCATTTCTATGTAATAAAATATTAAAATTTGTAATAAAAATATTGCTCCATGGACCATGGTATAATATAATCATTTATAAAACATTATTTTGTAAAAGACATCTTTATCAACCAAAGGCTACATGATATTAATAAATAAATTAATAATATGAATTTTTCAACCATTACCCTGCTAAAAGTGTGTAATACACCTTTTTTTAAAAAAAAATATTCTGCTTTAAATTTTGAATTTTTTGTTTTCTAATCAACCACTAGCCTGCTGGCAGCAAATGAAAATACCCAAGCTATAAATTTAGATCAAGATCAGCCAGTACAACTGAGCAATCTGATCATGGTCTGCACTGTTTGCATGTAAGTCAATAAATATATTGAAAATTTCCTAAAATCACAATGAATGGTTTGTCCAAATTGAGAGATGGATAAGTCCATTTAAAATATTTAGCATGGCATAGTCTTTCAAACAGAAATCTATTTGAAAGATCCTGAGCATGGTGAGGGTTAAGAAGGTGGACTGCCTTAATTGCATATAGGTTCTCATAACTATTACCAGTAAAAAGATTATTCATAAAATACTTAAGACATGCTTTGAGCGTAGTTGAAGTTAGTAAGCCAGGCACAAATCAAGTATTTCTATTAATGATAACATGAGCTTAAAATGAAGAAATGGTAAAAAGATGAATTCAATTTACCTGTATTCTTTAAATCTGCCTTCGAATTTGTGAAATCCAAAGATGCTTGAGAATTCTGCGAGGACTCGGTGTCAAATGATGACGGAAATAGCAGCAACTCCTCAATGTCACTTGTATTAACCATATTAGACATACTGGATGACTCCCTAGAGTCTGATGTAGCATTATCTATCACCATTGGTGAATTCTGTTCACTGGACAACAGCAAAGTTTCCTCTATGCCTACTTTCTTATCAAATGGTCTAATTCCTAATTGGGCATCTGATATAAGATTATCTTCAAGAGTCATTTCAGTGTATTCATTTGTAACACCGTCAGTCTTTGATCCTTCACTGATATCAGTAACATTCTCGGCAAGGGGCTCTAACCCTGTAGTTTCTGACATTATTCCCGCTTCTAATTCATTTTCTTGATCGCAGGATTTTACTTTATTGTCACTATCCAAGACATCCTGCTTAGCCGATATCGAACCTTCAGTTTCCCCTGTCACACTCAAACCATCGTCTTTTTGAATTTCAGGAGCCACTGTAGGCAATAGCTGATTTTGTACCATACTCTGAACTGGATTCATTTGAACTAACCTTGGAACAACATTATGCTGCATGAGTGGCTGGGTGAACACTTGATTAATACTTAATTGATTCGCAACAGAGAAAGTTTTCTGCTGGAAAGGGTTTGTGGCAGTAGAGATGACTGGGCTTAAGACAGAAGATGGAACCTTAGTAGCCATCAGATCTGGATAAACAAATTGTGGTCTTGGTTGAACCTGGGCGTTCATCTGTGACGGGTATGCAAGCTGTCCTCCCGGTTGGAAACTGATGTTTTGAAATACTGGTGAAGCTGACATAATCATTGGGACATTGCTACGTACTACTGGAACTGTGTTGCGAACCACAGAGGCGGTGTTTGGTACCATGGCCACTTTGTTTTGTACCACTGATAGGGAGCTTCGTACCCCTGAAACACTGTTCTGCACCACACAACCAGCATTTTGTACCATTGAGACTCTATTCTGAACTGAGGGCATCTGACTACCAATTTGAACAGTCTGTGGATAAACTATCTGAGCACCAATTTGTTGCGGGGTTGCAGAACGATTCTGTGACAAAGGGCCAACCTGTCGGTAAAGAGCTTGAGCAGTTATTGTAGGCTGGGCTCTAAGGCCAGATTGTGAAACTGACACAGTCTGCTGATATAGTGGCTGTATGTTCATTCTGGTCTGTTGTCCAGTTAAACTCTGGGAGACAATGCCGCTTTGTGGATATGGAGTAGCCATTCTTGGTTGAGACAAAGGCATCTGTGTTATAACTCCAGTCTGCGGGAAGAGGGCCTGGGCAGTTAATCTAGGTTGTGTGGTAGGCATTGTTTGGGATAGTGATGTACCATGGAACACTTGAGGTACAATATTCCCTCTTGAAATTACCTGTCCTTGACCTAGAACACAAAAATAAGGATACAAAATAGAATCAAACTTAAACAATAAAAACTTTAAATTCAGCTTATATAATATCATAGTGACTATAAATCATACACAGGTAAAGAAATAAATAAACAACAATAAAGGATAGGTATCATATACATGTATAACACTATCTTTTTAAGCATATTTGGTAAACAAAATGGAACCATTTCTAATCACTAGAAATGCCAAATATGTCATAGATTGTCATTTATAGAAGTTTTCCACAACATAACCTTTGACTTTCATGCTCATTTGTCATAATGTACCAAGGTTCATAATTGAAGAAAAATCCATAAACCCTTACTTATACCCTGAAGTACACCCATTCTCTAAAGGATTAGGAAATACAACAATGTCATACAACAAAATAATAACACTCCGTATATAACTTACAAAACCATCACAAACCCATATTAGCATCAATCAAGCTGTTTAGAAAAAAAAAATGCCATGTAATTTGCAATGTAATTAACAGGAAAAATAATATACATCAATGTATTATTGTTTTATAAGCATACCTTGTGGGTTCATCATTGGGACAGCCACTTGCGGAACCAAATTTCCTAACGGAGATTTTATAGGACTCACTGGCACAGCCTTTGGTCTCAGTGTACGAGGCACATTGACAAGAGCCTTTTGCCTGTTGTTTGGATTCATTCTGCTAAGTGTTAATCAGTCACCATTCATTGCCCTAAAATATATTCTCTGGAATGAAATAAGAATATCAATATACTTTATTATTTATTACTGTAAATAAAAATGTTTTATTTCATTCTTTTGTAAATTTAATATATGTAAATCTAATATTATTTTTCATTTCATTGAAGATTAGCACATTCAACAAATTTTAGTGTATTCTGTTATTACATCATCATTCTGTTTTATTGTCAGTATGAAATAACGATTGAGATAAATTAAAAAAAGCTTTGATTTTCATAGAGAGGATACCTGGAGACCTATTTCAAAATTATCTATATTCCCATTTACTTCAAATAGATAGATCTACAATTTCAATTCACGAATTCGAAAACCTAGCTAAACGCCGTTTTCCGGTACTTTCTGTACATAGCTCTGGGGAATTCACGTAATGGGGTGTAATAACGAACTCGAGATGTTTTTGAACTTTTTTAATAAAAGTGAAATAAAACAGTTGTCTCTTTGTTAAGAAAATAATTAAATATCATTGTATGAATAATTGCATACAAAAAATAAATTAAAAACACAAGTTTTCGCAGAAAAAAGTTCTCTACC